CTTCAAGAACATTTTCAATATTATAGTGGTGGCGGTGTCAAATGCCTGCACTTGTTTGCTGTCTGTATCAGGGGCGTAGCTACCATTATAAAAAAGCCCGTCTGTATCAGGGGCATAGCTACCATTATAAAAAAAGCCCGTCTGTATCAGGGGCGTAGCTACCATTATAAAAAAGCCCGTCTGTATCAGGGGCATAGCTACCATTATAAAAAAAGCCCGTTTGTATCAGGGGCGTAGCTACCATTATAAAAAAAGCCCGTCTGTATCAGGGCGTAGCTACCATTATAAAAAAGCCCGTCTGTATCAGGGGCGTAGCTACCATTATAAAAAAGCCCGTATGTGTCAGGGGCGTAGCTACCATTATAAAAAAAGCCCGTCTGTATCAGGGGCGTAGCTGCCATTATAAAAAAGCCCTTCTGTATCAGGGGCGTAGCTACCATTTTAAAAAAGCCAGTCTGTATCAGGGGCGTAGCTACCATTATAAAAAAGCCCTTCTGTATCAGGGGCGTAGCTACCATTATAAAAAAGCCCGGACTTACACATGATATTTGCTAAAAGAAATTCTACTTCTTGCCCAAAATACCTACAAACACGTCATCAGGACAATTTAAAAAATGGTAAAACCTCTATGAATCATATTGACTAAAGTATTCGTTGATAAAGCATTACCAATACAGTCACCATGTACAGTAAACATGTTATTCTTCATATCATACATGTGAAAGGTGTCTTTATTTCAGTGGTGATTGTGTTTCTATCGACATGTACGTGCATGTTTGTAATTATAACTGAAATACAGATATTTACAATCGCCCTTCAACGAAAACTTATGCGTTACTCCTTTTTGTAGTCATTCTGCAGGCTTTTAGGTGCAACCTCTCGGGCTTACACGAAAAAGTTGTGTATGGCTGAAAGTGGTGATCGCAAGTTTCATCCAGTCACAAAACGTTGCAAGGAACTTTCTGGAATGTTCCAAACAGCTAGGTTACCACGAACCATGTGAAAGGTGCTCTTTTGATCAGATGTCAGACGCTTTGGAATCAGACGTGTGGGTATACTTTGCCAAAGTGTCTAGGGTAATTGAACGTAGTCGGCCCGTGAAAATCTGGGTTAGAATTGGTTTTCAGCAATACATGAGGCGACTAACGGGGTGGGGTGGTCATCGCCATCGTATCCCAATTGCGTAGATCGATGCTCATGGTGTAAATCACCGGTCTGTGTCTGGTTCAGACTCGATTACATATATAGCTGGAATATTGCCGAGAACCTCTTTACACGACACAGAAAGTTAAATGTACTCTCTCCTGGAATATGACTACTGTGGCTCTGGGTCCTTATTCTCGAAACGTTCGTAGCCCTAAGAATTCTTAACTTTGATCGTAGCCAATGTGTTAAGAATGGGCTTAAGAAGTTCGTAAGGCTACGAACGTTTCGAGATTAGCTAGCCTGGTTTTTGCTGAGGTCACAGACGGGCAGGAAGGAATTGTCTTGAACCCTCTGCCTCACTGTTACCCTGCACCCCACACGACTTCAGGGAGGGGGGCGTTGGGGGGGGGGGGGAGAGAGAGAAGGAGCATCTCATGTGTGTTTATTGTATTCTTGTATCATCTGTATATGGGCCGCAGGCCACTCATTCTGCATTAACAAATTGAAACTGAAATTGTATTTTATCGAATATCACATCGGACTCACCTTTTTGTGGAAGTAACGCAATTACATCATGACGTGTCCAAAATGTGTTACTATCGTGTAAGTCCTTCTATATATGTGAGCCCTTGTATGTGCGAAATAGCTAACTATAATAGCTCCTCCGTCGTCATCGTCGTCCATGAACGTCTCGAAGTCTCCGTATGGACTTTATACATCCAGCTGAAATTATGTTTGGTCGTTTGTTACTACACTGTATATGTTGGTTGAAGTTGTTTAAGGCATACACACTGGAATTGCAATATTTCACAGGTAGCAAGTGCACGTTCTCCTACGAATGCACCTGAAGCCGAAACCGAAGAGGTGAGTAAGATGAACACGTTTTTAGTTAGACAAACTTGAGCCACATCGGTCTTTTTGGCATCGCCATAATAAGCAATAAAAGTCAAATATATATTTTCACGGGAAAACCTAAACATGGGTGTGTCCCTGACCCAAGATCTTAACCGTATATTTGCACTGTCGGTATAGTACATGCATTTTGTGTCATGTCAGATATATATACTGAGAGAAAAAAACATACCAGACAATCCAGTGATTTATGCGCATCGATCTACCCAGTTGGGATACGATGACATGTGTCAACCAAGCCAGCGAGCCTGACCACCCGATCCCATTAGTCGCCTCTTATTGGGTTACTGAAGACCAATTCTAACCCGGACCTTCCCGGGTGGGGCTAGTTCTCTACATTGTTCAAGACTCAGCCGTACTGAAACCCACTCCTTTATCGCCTCAGCTGTCTATGGGGTAGCATAGTGTTGAAAGGGTTCACTTCTCACACTGAAAACCCGTATTGATCCCCTGTGTACTGTGTGTGAGTCCCGTTTCTGTCGTCTCCCACTGTGATTTTGCTGTAATATTGTTAAAAGGGGCGTGGTCGAGAATGACATGACGTAACATACTTTGTCACAGAACGTAACAGTTACGGATGTTTATTCATGTGTATAGTGGTTCCGATCGTGCTCATAAAGAATGAGAAATGTACTAAAGAAGGAAAAGTGTTTACTAAACCGATTGGACGAGAACAGTTACGTACCTCATCGCCAGTTTTATGCAATGCCTTAGTTTTATTCAAGGCCTCCGTAAAGCAGTAAAAACGTTTCATGGTACATTGTACACATGTGAAGGAAATTTCAGAATTTCACTCGTTAATGACATGATGTTACTATTTCGATTTGGTCCATACGTTCCCGATTTTTAAGTGAACACTTGATTGACGAGCCCTTGCATGTGTTTATGACTAGTGCCACCTGCGGGGCAGGATACGCTAACCATTCCGCGAACACCTGGTGTCATCACTATTCCATCGTGAATCATAAACACCTGCGACCGCCTCCGTGGTGTAGTGGTTAGAGCGTCCTCCCGGAGAGCGGAAGGTCGCGGGTTCGATCCCCGACCGCGTCATACCAAAAGACGTTAAAATATGGTACTTGTTGGTCCCTGCCTGGCGCTCGGCATTAATGGGTACAACAAGGACTGGTCGGCTCAGAGTCAGTATAATGTGACTGAGTGGGGTATTCATGCTTCACTGCGGCATGGTATCTCAGTGAGCTAGCACTATAAAACCAGCTTAAGTCTGGTCTCAGTACAAGCAGCCGCACATACACATACACACGCATGCACGTCGTCATATGAGCGAAATATTCTCAAGTACGACGTTAAACCCAATTTCACCTCACCTCACCTCACCTCATAAACACCTGCACATGACATATACATGTATAGTTGGAGATGTACAGTCGACGCTGATTTCAGCAGAGATTTCAGAGACGTGGCACGGGTTTTGTCGCTTGTATTAACAGCAACGACTTTAAACCCGAAAACCTGCATAGCTTCTTTTGATCACCATACCCGTTGGTCTATTGACAGCTGACAATGACAACCTGGCATATGGACCATTGGGTTTGGGGCGCATTTACAACATAAACGCTCACATCAAGGGGTGTGAATCATGCTATACTTCACTGCATCGCATGTACCCGTTAAGTGTTGGTGGCCTTTATGCGTGAACAAGTACACAAGCGTTACCTGGTGATAGTCTCCCAGCCGTGTCACGTTCCCAAACATATTTGGTGAGCGAAGTTGTTGGACATGTCCGGCCAGAGATTTACACTGATAGGTTATGCATTATGTACCGTCCTTCCTTATACCCGATAGAGAGATACTGCGTATATCTGCAGGCGAATCCGTAGCACTAATTCCTGTCCCGGGGCTGTATATCTCGAGGTGAATTTTTGTACTGAATGGCAGTAGGACAATACTCACAAGCAAAGTATTGTACACATGAACAGGAATGTAGCTTACAGTAAAACCAGTCATGGGGAACGTACCAAGATACGCTCTCAAAACCTGGACTTATACCTCTTATGATGCATTTCACATCAGACATTTAATGGCGAGTAGGGTAGTACGAAGTTGCATCCCTGATGATGAATAACACACACGCATGATAACATATTATATACTCTCATATATGATAGTATATGACCATATATGATAAGGTATGGTATATATATCAGGACGAGTGTCAGACTCGATTATGTACAGACCCTGATCCTATGGCTGCAATGTTGCTGAATGTTGCGTTACACAAAGAGCAAAGCCAAAGCAAGAGGTGGCTCGGGTAACCGAGTAGGCCAAGAATTCAGCGCAGACATATCTACCCATTGTGACACTAGGCTGTCAACAAAGTATCTGTGTTGATGGGCTGCTCTAGTTTATCCCAGACCCTAGGGAATGAATTAGAAAATAAATTAAATTCAGGTCTAGATTGATTGGCCAAGTTGAGATTGCAGCTGAAATTACACATTTTATGAGTTTCGTATATGTGTATTTATCACTTTATATACTGTACCCACTGACCCGTCCTCCAATACCTTGGGGAAAGGCGAACATCTGTGAAAGGTGGAATAACATCAAAATATGCTCAGTGGAGTCAACAAGTTATTTAACTAGATTTCTATTTGAGCCACTGACATTGTTCAGTGTGCGTTTTATAACTGAATACTCAGAGTTGAAAGGTCGGATTTACTTTTGTTCGCGGCCACTCGACAGTAACGTCCTCGCTTATATAAAAGTTGTTTTTCTCAGTTGGCACTGATGAATCGTATCAAAACTTATCTAAAAAGAAAATACTTTAAAATCATTTGGATCATTAGTCATAGTAGACGTAACCAACCAAACGGTATCTATCACTATGTAATATATGTAGTTACATAACTTCACGCTTGAGATGAGAGTCTAGGGCTTGTTTATCGTATAGCTGCTGTGGTGCTTTTGAGACGGTCCCTCAGCTCACCTGATATCTCGTTGTTTTCAACAAGAAACAGGTTCTCGTCTGAGAGGCTGTCAATCGTGTCCCACCTTCCCGCTGAACAGACCACACTGTCAATCACAGGTAAGTGTGTTACCTGTAGACTATCAATACGACGACTAATTAACACATGCAGTTAATCCTATTATTGTTCGTGATAATGTAAACAGAGACTTAATTCCATGTTAAATGTTGTATAACGTTGTGCTGTCAGACCTTGTCACCATATGGCTACAATAATGAAAATTGCCTTTTAACGCAATCCCTCATAAATGTCAGGAGGGTGTTTAACGTCAACGAGAGTTAGGTCAAGGCTGGAAGGTGGAATTGACTTTTGTAAAGAATCAAGTGTTGAAGAAAAGTAGATTTTCCCCAAACTTTTAACACTGCCTGTTTCAAAACTAATTTTTTTATCTCCCCCTGAATAAAAGAATCTGAGCTTTGCCGAGAAAGTTTAATCCCAGATTTGACATGTTACACTTGGCCACTTTCTAATATCGTTGTGTATTATTCGTAGCGCTGCGCAATATAACCGGTTTACCGGTATTAACCGGTTCAGACATGAAAACGATACGTATTGCGATACGCTGATAGAAAACCGGTATTTTGACTTGTATTCGGAAAACTTCGTAACACTCGGAAACCTTGATGATTGTGGCAATTGTGGTAATGATGGTGGGATTGATGGTGGTGAAAATTACATTTTTAATATATTCTTATTTTGTCATGGTTAAAAGTTTTTATTAAAGCTTAATGAAGCATAGTGATTTTGTTGTGTTTTTGCTTTATAAATAAAGCGTTAACTTGATCATTAGTAGTTTATTGTTAAAAAAAACCTTCTTGCAATATATATCAATACATATCGCAATATAACCTTTCGCATCGCAATATATCGCAATATGAAAATTCTCTGCAATACCCACCCCTAATTATTCGTACTATTCATCCGTCATGCCGCTTTATCTTTGTTGTGTGTATCAGTGTCGGGACTGTTATTGTCATACCACCAGGATGAGGACGTGTATGTTGTAACCATATACCTGATTTGAACAATGGGCCTATTTATATATTACCTCTGTGATGCATTCATTCATTCATTTTAACGTCATCGGCAGTTGTTTGTGTCAGTAATTTTGACTGACTGACTGAGTGTGGTTTTACGCTGCTTTTAGCAATATTCCAGCAACATCACGGCGGGGGACACCAGAAATGGGCTTCACACATTGTACCCATGTGGGGATTCGAACCCGGGTCTTCGGCGTGACGAGCCAACACTTTAACCACTAGGCTACCCCACCGCCCCTAAGTAATTTTGAAGCAGAATAAAGGATTTATTGCATTTTCTGAATACAATTGTTAAACTAAGTGGACTAGGTATTGTATATATGTTAGTGGGTTGTAAAGTGCGTCACGAGCTGTCCGTGTACGGAAATAGAGGAAATACCTGGAAGTACCGTCAACCGTTGTGTACTGTTATCGTCAGTGTGAATGGATTTCCTGATTAGCGAATCGTGTACGGTGAGTTGGGTTTTACGCCGCATTTTAGCAATATTCCAGCAATATCACGGCGGGGAACACCAGAATTATGCTTCACACATTGTACCCTTTGGGGAAACGAAACCAGGTCTTCGGTGTGACGACCGAACGCTTTGACCACTAGAGTATCCCACTGCCCCCGACTTTATAGTGATAGCCCAATGAAATACCATACTGTAAATTAAAATTGACACACCAACCAGACTACTCTAATTTGACTAGTTATGCCCTTAATTTTAATTTTCAAACGTTTCATGAAAGAGTCCATTTCCATGTGTGCCATCATGGTTGGAATAAGGTTTGGAATTGTTGGATTCTCTGCCTATAGGCGACATAACCTACGGAATCTGATATCGGCATGTCCTACTATGTCTTTATGGGGCACATGTTTGGCGTGTGTGGTCATTAAACAAGTATTGCCATGTAGTCATGATGGTGTTTGTACATAACGGAATAATTGCATTTTATGTGATTTGTTATACTGGTTTAATTAATGGAAATAGAAAATGCCATTTTTAGTAGGGTATGAATGTAATCCAAATTACAGGATTATTTCAACATATTTTCAAACGTGATGACGTACGTCTTGGCCAGACATTCAAGTGATTGTCATTATGCGAATCAATCAACGCAATTGGGAGAAGATGACGTGTATCAGTCAGCGAGCCTGACCACCCGACCCCGTCAGTCGCCTCTTACAACAAGCATGACCAATTCTAACCCGGATCTTCACGGGTCTAGATCTTTTGTTCACAGACCCTGCTGGGATACGGGGCGTCATTAAAGATACAATTAGATAAATGTCCATTTATCGTATCTCTCTATTCTAAACGTGCGCAAAACATTTGAAATTGTACCGCACAGCGGTCATGATGACGTCATTCAACTTACCGCTTAGTGTAATATCGATGCCGATATTTAATGTGTAGCCTCGTCAAAAATAAATGAGTTAAGAAATAGGTACATTATATTGAATTGACGGTGCAAGATGTGACAAATCGTCACATCTTTCTGGCCAGTGGCAGAGGTACTATACATATGCTGGCTTGCCGCATGGAACTCTGGGTAGGAGAGTGGTGTAGGCGATCGTGTCCGGATTGACGGCCGAGGTGACGGTACTGTCAGTGCTTTGATCCAAGAAAATTCATGTCTGGATAGATGGAGTAGATTACGAGACAAAGATAGAAATTCATAGGCATACGAAGATACCGTGATCAGCTCCCCGACCGACTGTCAGTGTTAGTGAGCAGCTAGACGGCACAAGAATCCAGGTGCAGAATGCCGTCACGCGAACATTAAAGTGTATTTGCTGTTCAAAGTGTTTCTGAAGTTCCACACACGTTTGTTATTATTTTTCAAACTAAGCTAAGATTTGTTAACAACAAAACGTGCTTTAACATAAAAAAACGTGTCACCGATATGCGACGTAACGTATTACTAGGCGCAAATTTCTGCTTTTAAAATAATTTTAGCCAGTTTTAAACAATTATAATAATGATGATGAACTGTTTGAGAGGCATTCTGGAAGTTGTAAGTAATAGGAATGACCAGTCTTCTTCATAATAATGATTTGTTTAAACGCAATTGTTACCAGCTCACCTTACATTTCCAAAGGTATAATTCTAAATGCGGTGTAAAAATCACGGAAATTGATTTTTTTTCATGAATAGTCAGTCGAGGAACCGTTCATTTATGTACAAAGTAAGTGACACCCCCCAACCCCACCCACTGCATGTCATGTACAAGGTCATTTACCATCCCCCCACACCCTTCTCATAATGTCTAAGCATACTTTTTAAATAGTTAATGTACAAACTTGCTGATTATTAAGCCCACAGTTTTAGATTAAAGTTGATTCGTTGTTCATTAATGTACTGTTTTGAGACTCGTAGCAATTTAAAATTACATTAGCTAAAAAATGTCGGAAAGCGCACGTAAAATCTCGAAATGCTCACCTGGAATCACGAGAGCCGTTATTAAAACAAACGCAAGTGTGTGCTTGAGTCTCTCAGCGTTCATGCCATTTCATGAAACTATAATTGTTAAAAGCTTCAAATTAGGTAAGACAATTAGCTATGTTATCTATATTATTAAAATGAGGATGTGTATTTTACCCGATTTTCAAAGTGTGTATTGAATCACCAAATGCCATAACCGATTTAAGTACTATTAAGGGATTATTTTTATCAAAGTGCCGCAATCCTTACTCGCATTCTGATTGGTTTGTCGTATTTTCGTCCATAACATTCATCAAGAGGGGGACGAGTCTTATTGGCGGTGACGGAAAGGGGCGAGTGGTGACGAATGTTGTAATACCATGACATCTGTCAACCAAGTCAGCGAGCCTGACCACCCAATCCTGTTAGTCGCCTCTTACAACAAGCATGGGTTACTGAAGACCAATTCTAACCCGGATCTTCACGGGTAGAACCACTTATTAACACCTTTAAACCATACTGATTCGAGTGAAGCAGAGTAACTATCAATACATTGCGATCAGGAAAGTAGTCCGACCGTAGCGTCATCACCAAAGACTAGCCAATCACGGACCTCGAATGCAATCGCATGCATATGTCTCATATTGATTATCTCAAATTTTGTTCTCAACGACGGATGTGTAAGCTTGAAGCCTACGTTAAGTCTCCTAACGAAATTTCGTTATTTTAATTGTTCATTAGATCCGCAATAATGAAACTATGAAAACATAATGACATTTAGAAAGTGGTCAAATGTGGTCACCTATGCTATATTTAGGATTATCACATCCGGGATTCGAACCCACACTCTCAGGCACCCACTCAGCCACCGTGGCTTCCACAAAAATGGAAGTCAGACAACTGGTAGTCTAGACAACGGGCCTTGTGTACCCCTCTGACAAGAGGCACGGCATCCACGGCCGAAATCTGTGAATACGCAATGAATTCAGAAAATGGTCAAATGTAACATATGTTATATTTGGGGTTTTACTTTGTAAGTAAAGTACAGTTTCGTTATGGAATGAATGTTGAAATGTAGCCATCTTTGTGGGTTTTATCGGTAAGGTGAGTGACGAAATTTAGTTAAGTCATTAAGTTTTGTAATACAAACTAATGGTTTCATTACCGCCTCCGTGGTGTAGTGGTTAGAGCGTCCGCCCGGAGAGCGGAAGGTTGCGGGTTCGATCCCCGACTGCGTCATACCAAAAGACGTTTAAACATGGTACTTGTTGGTCCCTGTCTGGCGCTCGGCATTAATGGGTACAACAAGGACTGGTCGGCTCAGAGTCAGTATAATGTGTCTGAGTGGGGTATTCATGCTTCACTGCGGCATGGTATCTCCGTGGGCTAGCACTATAAAACCAGCTTAAGTCTGGGCTCGTACAAGCAGTCGCACATACACATACACACGCATGCACGTCGTCATATGAGCGAAATATTCTCAAGCACGACGTTAAACCCAATTTCACCTCACCTCAATGATTTCATTAGCATTCTCACAGAACATCCTTTATCTATTGCAGGATGTTGTGGCTCCGTACAGTGTCTTGCCTTCTCCTGTCAATCATCTCAGCGAGGGGCGTGGCCTCAGAGTGCAAGATGACCGATGAAGAGTGTGAATTCTATCTAATCATTGACCAACGTATGACAATGATGAAAGGGTCCGAGGCCGTTTTCCCCGAGGGAGGGAACCTGTATAAGTACAACGTCGTCAATACGTCAGCCTCTGCGCCAGAGTCACCACTTGGGGTCATCCAGGCCGACGGCTTCGAAACACAGCGAGTTGTCACGGTGGCCAATGGCTCCATGCCCGGACCTGCTATCGAGGTGTATGAAGGTCAAACTGTTGTCGTCCATGTTAAGAATCACCTCCACAATGAGGGCTTATCAATCCACTGGCACGGTCTTCACCAACAAGGTACCCCACACATGGACGGCGTGGCCTTCATAACGCAATGTCCTATACTTCCGGGTCAAGAGTTCACCTACAAGTTCAAAGCCAAACCCAAGGGCACTTTCTGGTATCATTCACATATGGGAAACCAGAGGACCATGGGGCTTCTGGGTGCGCTGATCATCAGAGAGAAGAAGCCTCCAGTGATGGAGGAAATGGTAATGGTGCTACAGGACTGGAACCACGAGGATTCGATGACCGTCCTTCTGAAAATGATGTACGGATCATTTGAAAACAGACAAAAAGTTCCAACAACGGATTCCCTTGACGGCTCCCATTTTAGCCGATACACAATGTTGAGCGGGCTGATAAACGGAAAGGGTCGACTATATGATAAAGCCGGAAAGCACAATGGAGCCCCGCTTACTACCTTCGATGTAAAACCAAACATGCAGTACAGGGTCCGGGTGATCGCCGCTGGAAACCTCTTCCCATTCAGGGTGTCCGTGCATGGTCATGAACTGACAATCGTGGCGTCCGACGGGTATGACCTGCGTCCAGAAGTTGCGGAGTCCTTCGTCATCAACCCCGGTGAGAGGATGGACTTCATTATCAACACCACCAACACAGTCGACAACTACTGGATTGTGGCGCAGACTCTCGAGGAAGGCGTGGACCACAAGGCTGAAGCCATCTTCAGATACGAAGGCGCTGCTGAAACAGAACCAACTACTTTCAGAAGAACATGCTCAGCTTCCAGTCCATGTCGTGTCATCAACTGCCCCTTCACATACTACCCGCTACCGCACACAGAGTGCCTCCGGTTCGACCAGCTTAGATCTTTGACTGAAGATCCTGCTCCTCCAGTGACAGCTGGGAAGTTCAAGGAGCATTTCTTCAACTACGCCTTCCCTGGTCTAACACTATATCCGGGTCAGGTGAACGGCCGGGCCTTCACGATGCCAACTGTTTCTGCTCTGACCCAGCTGGATGAGATTCACACAACCTGTGACAAGGCAGACTGTGGCGACGAAAAGACGTGCCACTGCACCTACAAGGTGGATCTGACATACGGAGACACTATTCAGATGGTCCTCCTCAACATGGGCAACGGGAAGGGTTGGTCTCATCCAGTTCATCTTCATGGCCATTCCTTCTACGTGTTGAAGATGGGCTATGCACAATACAACGCCTCCACCGGAAAGATCATAGGCGATAACATGGATATTGATTGTCACAACATCAGCCACAACTTCTGTAATTCGGCAACGTGGGCAAACGCGTCGTGGACGGGGGATAACATTCCGGGTCTGGAGCTGAAGAACCCCCCGCGGAAGGATACCATTATAGTTCCAACTGGTGGTTATGCGGTTGTGAGAATCCGAGCTAACAACCCTGGCGTGTGGTTCATGCATTGCCACATTGAATTGCACAGTGCTGACGGGATGGCCATGATGATCAACGAAGCTCAGGACAAGCATCCTGCACCACCGGATGACTTCCCGAAATGCGGGAATTTCGGACCTAAAATTACGTACAACAACCACAATAAAAAAGACGAAAAAGAGAAGGAAAACAAGGAAGAAAATAAAAGTAAGTATTTCTAAAATCTTTTAAAAAATAAATTAAAAACAGTAGTGGAACAATTCAGTATGTCTTCTTAGACGGAAATGTACAAGAGGACCGAGGATGTGAGGTTTCTTTGAGTGGCATCTTAGAAGGTGGGAGGTACAATATTGACCAACGTTATGGGAGACAACATTATGATTTCGTGAGTGCGACGTTTCCATACAGATTCTTGTACCGCTGCCAAGCAGTACCTGTGTTTCAGTTATGTACCACAATGACTTGCGCAGATCGATGCTCATGCTGTTGATCACTGGATTGTCTGGCCCAGACTCGATTATTTACAGACCGCCGCCATATAGCTGGAATATTGCTGAGTGCGGCGTAAAACTAAACTCACTCACTCACTCACCACAATGACATGTTCTGTGTTTCAGTGGTGTACCAGCATGACGTGTTCTGGACCGTGGTTGGCTGTCTGCTCGGGATCTGTGCCCTCCAGTTCATCATCCTTTTGTGTATATGCTGCCGGCGATGCGAGGGGTCCGGTCGGGAGAAATACAACATGGAGTCAACATATACCTCAAACCCACAGGAGAACAAAGCATTCCAAAAGTATTAACAGTGAACGTCAGGAATTCAGGAATTGGTAATCCACGAAATCACCAGATCATGTTCCCTTCTGACGCAGCTTACCCGAAAGTAAAACATAAAGTATAAAGTTGTTAGGTCATGTCGTACACTGATGAGTAGAGGAAACTTTTCTACCCTGTAGATTTTAACACATGTCCGATTTTAAATTGAAAATTTACTAAGTCAGGGATATCCAAAATATGTACTGTATTTGCGCATAGTCAGCAATCAAAAATGCGTTTCATTGAAAACCTTTATAAATGGTGGGGAAATCATGATACCAAACTACGGATGGGTATCTGTGACATCATATTTTAAATCGATACATTTGGGGTCATCAATAAGCATATTCAACTTTCAAATACATAAAACAAGATCTCACTACACTTTCTTTAGTCCCCGCTCTGTTTTGGACAGTGTAATTTCGTTAGTCAAGTAAGAGTTTCGGTCATTCACTTAAACCAAGCAATTTGTGTTCAGGGTGAGAATAATCAAAACTATGTTATTACTGTAACGGGAGCATGCCCAGTTTTGTTCTGTTAGTGGCACGAAGTGTTTTTCTTTCAAACAAAGAATTAATTCAAGAACACCTCCGCTCTCTGTCATAGAACTATGCCATGGCAGTACATTCAATCCGTTGGCAGGATGACTGATAAATTTACATTTACCGAATTTCATAGTTTGTAAGTAAACTATAGCATCATTTTTGAGGTACTGTCGATATTCCGTTCACTGTTGCAGGAACGATGTTTCCTATGATTGTCTAATCAAGCCGTTGTCGTTCATTCATTATGAGACATATATCCTATATGAAACTTTAATTGTTAGCTATATACTCGGCCGAATATATATTAACAAAGTAATAACCAATTATCATACGTTTTACCTGTTGTTTTGGCGAGTGCTGATTTTAAAGTGTATATTTTTCATATTGTTCATATTGTTCTGTGTATCAATATGCATTGTTATGTGTTTCAGGTTTGTTCTGTACAGTGTTAGATTGTCATGTTTGCTCGTGCATATATACGTGAATCACGACAAGTACATGTGAATGTTACACATACGCATACCCGAGATGTACCCGACATGTACCCGACAAGTGAATATGTTGCAAGGTTGTCAGCAACATACGGTACACGACAAACTTCTGTAATATTCCGGGGCGGTGGGGTAGCCTAATGGTTAAAGCGTCCGGTCGTCACGCTGAAGGTCGAGGTTCGATTCCCCACATGGGTACAATGTGTGAAGCCCATTTCTGGTGTCCCCGCCGTGATATTGCTGGAGTAATGCTAAAAGCGGCGTAAACACATACTCTTTCACTCACTCCCTGTAATATTCCGATGTGAACCTGCACATGCCAAGCGGTGTCAATGTTGCATCTCATGTAAGGGTAAGGACACGCGTGGCTCAGTAGTCGAGTCGTGCCCTTAATCGTGCCAGGAATCTATAATCATAGGTTTGAATCTGATTTGTCCGGATTTTGTTTGTAGAATTTGTCACCACCATACCATGTTCGTGGGTCTGACACAAGAAATACACGTCTAGGACCTGCATCATTTAGGACATTCATCTTCCCTCCAGCTGACTCAGCAGACTCACTCACTAACTCACTATATACACCATGTATCACTGGATGTCTCTAGATTTAGGGACCGTTCATAATATATGGGTGGGCGTGGGGTGTGGTGTGTGTGTGTGTGTGGGGGGGTGATTTTAAGTGGGGTCATCAATTTTGTACACATGTACAAGTGGGGGCGGGGTCTCAGCAATTTTGTACATAGAAATGTTAAAAAAATATTTGCTTAAAAACTATATGGGGGGTCATTGATTTTTTACGTGACATGCGGTGGGGGGGGGGCACTTACTTTGTACATCAATTTAAGGGGTTCACTCACATTGTACATGCTTCTCCATAAAAATCACCATCCTAGCCATAAATTATGAACGGATCTTATGTTTACATTAATAAAGACATCGTTTTATAATATACAGTGTTTGTTTTTGGTTCCGACAGAAACGCTTTCTCTCATTCGTCTTGAGCGCAACTGAAACTTGTACATTTTCCGACGCCACATGTGGTCCTTTAAAATGTTCGTCAGTTCTTCACTACACTTATCTATTGCGATTCAGGCTTACATTTAGCTCGTACTTGCTGATGTGTTTTCATTCCACAAAAGACAACAAAACACTTCTTCGTTTGTTGGGGTTCGTGGTGCCGGCGGCCACTAACGAATGTCCTAAAGTTTCGCCCCATTCCTCCCACGTGCATTTAGTAGAGTCAAATACAGGCATATTCAAACGTGCTGCTATCTTTCACTTTCACGAATGTGTCACTTCACGAAGTCTACACTTGGAGTAAAGTCCCATTCACATGCACACAATTTACTCATGTAAGTAAATTTGCATATGTGTAAAATACATACGTGTGTGATAGTAAATTTACTTTGCGTTCACATTGAATTTATGTAGAGTGAGTAAACTTGAAAGTGTAAAAATACATGTATCAAATTGTCTCAGTTTTTTGTGTGAACTTCAACAGAGAAAGGTGTTCTCTTATCATCGGCGCTTAAGAAGACACACGCAGTATCAGATATGTACTGCTCTTGCAATAGGTCTGTCACAAGATAGACCTCTCTGGAATAAAGAAAGACAGTCTTTTGGTGGAACGACATAAATAAATCTAATGACGACAAATACTGGTACGATGATTTTCGAATTAACAAAGGTATTTTCGATCTTATCTGCACACAACTGCAGGATTACTTAAAAGCTAGTGACCAATCTGTTTGGATGTATGAATGAAAGTTGCAAGCGCAATATACTTTATGGCTTCAACTTCAGAATATAGAACTGTGGCACATTTGTTTAGTGTAGGGAAGTCCACTGTTTGAAAATGTATTCATGAAGTTTGTCAGACCATATGTGATGTTTTGCTTCCGGAATATGTAACTTTTGCCCTAAATGAAGATGACATGACACAATTTACTCACAGTGCACCTGGGTCTGACCACATGTACATTTGCTCCTAGTGTATATTTACATACGTGTGGAAATGCGTTCACATGACATATGTACACACGTATGTAAAGTTTGCTCGTGTGTGTATTATACATAAGTGTGCAAACAGGTGCATGTGAACGGGGCTTTAAGTGTTTATTCTACAGAAGACAAAGCAGGCTCAGAACCACAGCTCTCTGGGTGGTTACGACTTCATGAACAAATGAATGAACTGCACACATCCTACCGGGCACCCATTTAACACCTGCTGATCAAATCTCTCTCTCTCTCTCTCTCTCTCTCTCTCTCTCTCTCTCTCTCTCTCTCTCTCTCTCTCTCTCTCTCTCTCTCTCTCTCTCTCTCTCTCTCTCTCTCTCTCTCTCTCTCTCTCTCTCTCTCTCTCTCTCTCTCTCTCTCTCTCTCTCTCTCTCTCTCGGTATTATCAGTCAAAACAACCAGGATGATACCAGTTTACGCCCAGTTGATCTGAATGTGTGGTGTGGCGTCAGTCTCGTGAAGCGTACGTAACCCAACATAGACGACACGGTAACTGATTTTATGTTGCAACGAGCGAACGTTACATGACTCAGATGAACGAATTATATCATCCTGGAGCTCGGATTATTTATACGATTAAACACGTGAGTTTAAAACAGTTTCAGCACGACTCTCAGTCTGGTTATTATCACTGGAATGTACAGCGAGATACTGACACATTATCCTGTAAATGCCGACGTTTCACGTGCACATCATGAAAAACCTTTTCACAAAATTCCTTCCACTGATTTACCCATCTCAACTTGAAAGTCAGGAGACAACTGTTTCATATTTGTATCTGTACATACAGATTCAGACTGATAAAACCTCCCCACAAGGTTGTATGACAAAAGGGATGATTTTAATTTCCAGTAGTCAACTTTCCTTTCATGTCTAGGGGCGGTGGGAAGACCCGGCCGAAGACCCGGGTTCGATTCCTCACATGGGTACAATGTGTGAAGCCCATTTCTGGTGTCCCCCGCCGTGATATTGCTGGAATATTGCTAAAAGCGGCGTAAAACCAAACTCACTCACTCACTTTCATGTCGATCAAGTTTTATAATAGACATGAGGGGACATTTCAAAATTTGATGCTTCAATGACTGAAAATGATGTCCGATACAATTCCCTATTTTCAATTTACCATACATGTTTTCAGGTGAACAGTTCACCAGCCTTTGGTGGGGCACGATATCCTCATGTTGGCGAATACCTGGTGTCACTATTATTTCATAGCGATTCCTATCTTATGGTGTGAGTCACTGGATCTATGTCGTTGTCACCTCTCGTGACAAATGCTAAATGCTGGGGATCAAAGTTATACACGGTAAAACCCTTTCAGGTCAAAGGTCGTTCCGTCGAACCCCATCCTAAATGATCCTTGAACCTCGGTGGCGGAACTTATGTATAGAAGGGAGACAACTCCGCACCGCTTCACGTTGTTGAGGCTCAGGCTGACCACACACATAGTTGAGATAACAGTGAGTCAGTGAGTTTAGTTTTACGCCACTTTTACAATATTCCAGCAATATCACGGCGGGGGACGCCAGAAATGTGGGGAATCGAACCCGGGCCCTCGACGTGTCGACGAACGCCTATACCACTAGGCTATCTCACCGCCCCTGAGATAACAGTGTTGCCATGGCAATAGTTGCCATGATCCATGGAGCAAATATAAAACAGGAATCATGTGTACTGCAAAAATGATTTAATGAAAGGAAGTGATTTTCATACAGTTAAATCAAGTAATGACCAATTAACATTTTTCCAACAATATTTCTTAAGCGGTCAGAGTCTGGCATATTTTCTCATATGAATAATATTTTCAGCGAAAACAGTGTGACCCGGCGCATAGGAACTGTCGGTCACATTACTGGTATGGACTAATAGACTAATGGACTAATTTGGTAAACGCTGCAAAGGCACAGACAGGCCGGTCCAATTGTTAGTACGTGACGCCGAGAGGAGGAACATCTGGGCAAAATGTTGCTCTGATCCTCTCAGGCCGGTTTCGTTGTTGTGACGTGTGCCAGGACCAGGTGAGGAAATGCTGCAATGAGCCAGTGATATCTCATGGTTGTTGGCAACACTGGGCTCAGCCAGGGTTCAGGTATAGGTAAACCACACTCTTTAAAGGCACTATGTCACACATTTTCGACGATATTTTGGCCTATATTATACATGTTGGGGCATATGCATTCACTTTAGCTTCCTGTTGATGCAATAGGGAGTGAGTATGTTTTTACGCCGCTTTTAGCTATATTCCAGCAATATCACGGCAGCGGACACCAGAAATGGGCTTCACACATTGTACCCATGTGGGGAATCGAACCTGGGTCTTCGGCGTGACGAGCGAAGGCTCTAACCACTAGGCTACCCGACAGCCCCCTTTGATGCAATGCCTGACTTGCCTGAAATCGATAACTGAAACTTCGAGGCGAAGAGCTTCCAAACTGAGAACACTAGCCATATATGGAATGTAAACAATTGCTCCATACATCGAAAACTGTCGCACGCGGTGTTGTGGGTGTTTGTTGAACTTGTGTCTTTGTCCAAAGTAGTTACAGGATATTCGTGAAGAGCGCTCCAAGGGACAGAACTCTATGGGGTTCGCTTGAAATAATGTTCGGCCGGTAGAGGGCGCGAGAGTCGAATTAATTCTACGTTGCATTAATTCATTCGAACTTTTCAATATAATATTGTAATGTAAATACGTAATCGTTTTTGTAATAAATGGTAGCTTCCCTGAGGGCTGATAGTAAGCATTATTTGGAGAAATGCATTACAGTGTATTTATTTCTAGAAAAGTTTGGTGTCACATTGTGCCTTAAATACGAGTGCAATACAATCTTCATTTACAGCACTGCTATTGACCGACTCCCGCTTCATCCTTATAAATATTTCCTTCAGGTATTCCGTCATTAATTCAATTGGATTTGATTTTTTAAGATACAATGTAAACATGCTTAAAAATCATTTCATTGAATTCAGCGAAGCGTAAATATTCATTCAGCATTGAATAGATATTTACATTCTGTCAACATAGTGTTTACCCTTCAGTTCCACCTCAACATTTTCAAAAGCATGGTTCAGTTTCGGGTCAGGTGTATTCTGTATGTTGGACGTCTTCCGGTTAGATCCCTGTGGCCGGCAGCACAGGTACAGCAGGATGGCGAACTGTATGGCGCACACCCCGATCAGACAGCCAACCACACTCCAGAACACGTCATGCTGGACAACCACTGAAACACAGAATACGTCATACTGATACACAACTGGAACAAGGAATACGTCATACTGATACACAACTGAAACACAGAACACGTCATACTGATACACAACTGGAACAAGGAACACGTCATACTGATACACAACTGAAACACAGAACACGTCATGCTGATACACAGCTGGAACAAAGAATACGTCATACTGCTACACAACTGGAACATAGAACACGTCATGCTGATACACAACTGGAACATAGAACACGTCATGCTGATACACAACTGGAACAAGGAATACGTCATACTGATACACAACTGGAGCAAGGAATACATCATACTGATACACAACTGGAACAAGGAATACGCCATGCTGATACACAACTGGAACATAGAACACGTCATGCTGATACACAACTGGAACAAGGAATACGTCATGCTAATACACAACTGGAGCAAGGAATACGTCATACTGATACACAACTGGAACATAGAACACGTCATGATGATACACAACTGAAACATAGAACACGTCATGCTGATACACAACAGGAACAAGGAACACGTCATGCTGATACACAACTGAAACATAGAACACGTCATGCCTATACACAACTGGAACAAGGAATACGTCATGCTGATACACAACTGGAGCAACGAATACATCATACTGATACACAACTCAGAGCATGTCATGTTGGTACAACTGCAAAACAGAACACGTCTTGCTGAAACAACATTGACTATATCACTAAACCTAAGTTAAGGTACAAGAACTACCGGAGGTGAAGATGCAGTTAAGATAATCTGTTGCCAACTGCCACATCTTTAACTATAAACACTGTTCTACAAAAGAGAGAAGAACCAAAACCTTTTACTTTGATACTAATAGTGTTAGAACTAAAATCAACACCAGGTCCTTCTCAGTGTTATGGAAGTGTATCCTTTAGTCAGGATTGTGAGCTGAACTTACATGGGTTGGTGCTTGTCTTGGCAGTATGGTTGGTCTTTTCTGATCCGTTAGGTTTCGTCTTGTATATCACATCCGGACCAAATTCCGAACATCGAGGCCAGTTCTCTGGCGGAGCAGGATGCTTGTCCTGAGCTTCGTTGATCATCATGGCCATCCCGTCAGCGTTGTGCATCTCAATGTGGCAATGCATGAACCACACGCCAGGGTTGTCAGCGCGGATTCTCACAACCACATAACCACCAGTTGGCACTATTATGGTATCCTTCCGCGGGGGGTTCTTCAGCTCCAGACCCGGAATGTTATCTCCCGTCCATGCAGAGTTTGCAAATGTAGCTGCATTACAAAAAGGATCTCCGTTACAGCTTATATCCGGATTGCTGCCTGCGACTTGATACGTGGAACTATTTTGTATTGCATAGCCCATCTTGAGCACGTAGAAGGAATGGCCGTGGAGATGAATAGGATGAGACCACCCCCATCCGTTGCCCATGTTGAGGAACACCAGCTGAACGGTGTCTCCGTACTTCAGGTTAAGTGTGAAGGTGCAATGACACGTCTTGTTGAACCCACAATCTTCTCTGCTGCATGATGTGTCAACCTCGTCAATCTGGGACAGAGCTGAGACGACAGGCATCTTGAATTTATGTCCATTCACTTGACCTGGAAAATGACTATAGCCAGGAAAACCAAAGTTGAGGAAGTGTTCTTTGAACTTGCCAGGAGTTATCGGAGGAGCTGGATCGTCATCAGGCAAAGATTTGAGCTCGTCGAACCTCACTGTTTTAGTATTACTTATAGGGAAGTTGGTGAAGGGGCTGTTGACAACTCGACATGGAAGAGCCGCTGTGCATGTTCTTCTTGATGTAGTTGGTTCTGCATCAGGCGCTCCTTCGTATCTGAGAATAGCTTCCGCTTTGTGATCCACGCCTTTTTCGATGCTCTGCGCCAGAATCCAGTAGTTGTCCACAGCGTTGTTGGTGTTGATGATGAAGTCGATCCGCTCACCGGGGTTGATAATGAAGGATTCTGCGATTTCTGGACGCAGGTCATACCCGTCGGACGCCACGATTGTCAGATCATGATCGTGCACGGACACCCGGAACGGGTAGAGATGGCCGGCGCCGATCACCCGGAACCTGTACTGTGTGTTTGGCCGTACATTGAAAACAGTGAGGGGTGCGCCATTATGACGATTGTTTGTATCATAGAGACGACCCTTGCCGTTAATAAGAGCACTTTTCATGAAAAAACGGCTAAAGTGGGAGCCATCGAGCGCATCTGTTGTTGGAAGTTCTTTTCGGTCTTCAAATCCCCCGTGAACCGACTTTAAGTGTATCAAATTTGAGTCATCGTGGTTCCAGTCCTGTAGCACCATTATCATTTCCTCCATCGCTAGTGGCTTCTTCTCTCTGATGATCAGTGCACCCAGAACTCCATTGGTCCTCTGGTTTCCCAGATGTGAATGATACCAGAAAGTGCCCTTGGGTTTGGCCTTGAACTTGTAGGTGAACGACTGACCCGGAAGTATAGGACATTGTGTTATGAAAGCCACGCCGTCCATGTGTGGGGTACCTTTTTGATGAAGGCCGTGCCAGTGGATTGATAAGCCCTCATTGTGGAGGTGATTCTTAACATGGACGATCACCGTTTGACCTTCATACACCTCGATAGCAGGTCCGGGCATTGAACCATTGACCACTGTGAGAACTCGCTGTGGCTCATAGCCGTCTGCTTGGACTATTCCTTCCGGTTCCAAAGGGGTCGCTGCTGAAGTGTTTGTGACGTCATACTTGTACAACTTCCGGTCAGAAGAGAAAACTGCCATGTTACCTTTCATCATGGTCAGGCGGTGCTCAATGGTGAGGTAAAATACGCACTCGTCATCTGTCATCAGACATTCTGAAACCACGCCCCTCGCTGAAATGATTGACAGCAGGAGACAGGTGACCGCTTGGACATACCTCATCCTACAAAACAGAGAAGGAATTATTGGTACAATATATAGGTAAATATATAGATAAATATGTCAATACTGACAAAGATAAACAATATGACGTGAATGAATGCATCACACGTTTTTATGGATAACAACTTCTTTTTTAATCTTTATACGACGTTTCAGAGCTAATTCTTCCTCCTTCATCAGGTGGATGTTCGTCCATTTTCTAAATGCCTTTCAAGCACTTCAATATGACGTGAAGGGCCTGAACGAAGGAACGCGAGGCACCTTACAAAGTAGACATGAATTTATCGATTGACAACCTTGAATAAACACATTCCACGTTAACAAAGGTTTGAATTTACTGACAATGTACGCATTTTCCTTTGTTTTGTCCACTACTTCACATGGACTGGTGTCTTCACTAATAAACACAGCAATACAAGAACAACCTGCAACATACAGGGGAATTGCACACAATTCTTCAGCTGACGAGGCACAAGGGACTGTCCTCAGACAGACACTGCTAATTCTCAACCGTTGTTCAAACTGCATGAATCCACTTAGCGGATTGTGACGAAAGTCTCAATGACCCCTCCCCAAAAATGCACGTTTTATCCTTATATAGTATGACCAGAAATTATTGAGAATTTTAGGAATATGTTTAATTGGATTTCTAGTATAAACAACCTTGACCAGCTATCAAGTGTTTGGTTTCATTCAAAAGAGACACCTCCGTTAATCCTTTTTCATTAGTTTGTGAAGAGTTATCCCCCCTTTGTTTACTTGCTAGCAGACGACATTTTCAGTGATCCTCAGTATGGATGATTTAGAGACGAGGAAGTTGATTTTAGAGTATTATAACAAGGACATCAGATCAGCTAAAGTGATTTCATGTAGAACAGGCATCCCTTTGTCCACTGTTTTGAAAAATATTGCAAATGGATATGGCATTGAGCACCAGGGAGGCGCAGGTAGGCCCAGAAAATTGACTGTCAGTGACAGGAGGCGGCATGGTATTCTTGTTTCTAAAAACAAACGAAGGGGTTTAGAAAACTTAAGGCTGGATAGGATTGATAGAGGAACTGTGGCTGTCTGTAAGGAGACAATTAGAACTGAGCTGCATGCAATGGGTTGGCAGAAAAGTCGAGGAATTCCATCACCGATCATGAAACCTGAACAAAAGGAGCGAAGGTTGAACTGGTGCTTACAGCATAGAAAGTTTGACTGGGACAATGTGATTTTCTCAGATGAAAGTTCTGTGTGGCTGTTTCCTAATACACTGAAATTCTGGACCAAACAAACTGAAAAACCTTTGTATCAGCGCCCAAAATACAGTCCAAAATTTAACGTGTGGGGTGGCATGTCTGTGTTAGGGGCAACGCCCCTCTGTGTATTTGAAGAGAATATGAACAGTGAGCGGTACACAGATATTCTCGAGGGACATTTACTTCCATCTGCTCACGTGTTCTATGGAAAGTTTTGGATTTTCCAGCGGGACAACGACCCAAAACATCGTTCAAAGCATTCACAGGCTTGGTTTCTGACCCAAAATATGACATTATTAGATTGGCCAAGCTATAGCCCTGACCTAAATCCATTAGAAATGTTTGGGGACTTATGAAAGAAAGTGTTAATAAAAGAAATCTGACAAATATTGCTGAAATGAAAGAAGAGGTGGTCCGATATGGGACAGCATGGACCACGACTTTCTAACTTGTTTGATCAGTAGTATGCCCCGCCGCATTGAAGCCTGCATTGCTGCCCATGGTGACTTGACAAAATACTAACTGTTCACCTGTCTTTGAATCTGGAGTTATGTTCTGCTAATATTCACATTTAATACGTGAGTAATGAGTGAATATTTTTTATAAATATTACAATCTTTAAATTCTCAATAATTTCTGGTTGTACTGTACTTAAACTGGTCTCTAAAAATATTGTATTTACAACGGTTTCATCAAAAACATTTCTAAACATTCCAGGTGAAGGATTGCACACTGTGACGTGTGTAAGGTGATTGGGAAATATCGGGCCACGATTTTTCGAAATAAACTTAAGTCTGAAGTTTTGACTTAAGTTAGAGTATTACTCAAATTTAAGAAAACGCAGGAAATTGCATTTCCCAGATTAAACTGAAATCGATATCAGACTCAAGCATAGTTAACAATTTGAGTTTGTCGGATAGATTACTTAAGTTGTTTGGGCATTTTTATTTTAAAAATGTAGTTGAGTTAAAAATTCAGCTGTTTCAAATTGTCAAGCCCAGTTTGATATTTGAGCAAAAACTTAAGTTTGTTTCGAGAAATCGGGGCCGTATGTAATATCTGGGAAAATGTTCTGGGAAATATTGGGAGTCGTATCGAGGGAAATACCAGGGGGAATATCGAGGGAGGAAAAGGGGAAATGTCAGGGAAATATCGAAGGAAATACCAGGGAAATATCGATGGAAATACCAGGGAAATATCGAAGGAAATGCCTGGGAAAATACCAGAAGAAATATCGGGGGACGTAACTGGGGAAATATGAGAATTATCGGGGAAATATCGAGAGAAATGTCTCAGTTAGTTATCCCAGGGGAAAAAAGTATATTCAGCACTGGAACCACGCTTGAAACACGGTTTATAATCTTTGCATTGTTACCCTTTCAAAGATTAATCGTAAAAGTTGTCGCTCCGTCGTGGTGCTTAGAAACCTGGAAACAATATCACCGTTCGAAAAAGCGTGTTACGTATCGAAGACTATGCTAAAGTGACAACAGTCTGAGCGTTAAGATCGCTTTGCTCCATACAGCCCATGGCTCCACGGCTATCGTATGTCTGTAATGACATCGACATATTTAGTTGTAACCACATTCAGTGAGTGAGTGAGAGTTTAGTTTTATTCCACTTTTAGCAATATTCCACTAATACCACGTCGGAGCACACCGGAAATGGGCTTCACACATTTTACCCGTGTTGGGAATCGAATCCAGGTTTCAACATGACGAGCGAACGCTTTAACCGGTAGGCTACCCAACTCCCCGGGTTCAGAACGCTTGTATTCGGAGCGTGTGAAAGTGTTGGGTTTCTTTTAGAAGCGACGGGATCGTAGCACCAGTTTGGCGGGGCGGTGGGGTAGCCTAGTGGTTAAAGAGTCCGCTCGTCACGCCAAAGACCCGGGTTCAATTCCCCACATATATACAATGTGTGAAGCCCATTTCTGATGTCCCCCGCCGTGATATTGCTGGAATATTGGTAAAAGTGGCGTAAAGCTAAACTCACCCACTCACTAATTTGGCGTAAAGACACGTGAGTCACGATTGTCTTATTACTATCGCTGCGTTAAGGTGCATGGTTTGTATCAATCGTAGTACTGAGGTTGCTTTCAGACCGGTAAATTACGACAGTAATTTAAGTAATGAAGTTGCATTAAAACATATATACTGCATTCTCTGCAGAGCCTACGTTAAGAACGTACGTTACAAAAGTTGTAACGTCTAGGTTTCATTAGAACGTCAGTTACGACATTCGCGGTTCTAAGGTCACCTGGTGTTTCGGTAGACTTTAGAATGGGCAATGTCTGTACAAACAGTGTATTAATGTTCACATCCGTATTACAGGCAATGTAAACACATGTAGCTCTTCAAGTACAAGTATGTAGACTGTCTAAATATTTACCAGTTTGCATAAAAGCTGAAGTTCACACAGCCTACCTTACACATTAATTCCAACAATTTCGGATTGGGATTTACGCGCGCTTTTATTTTGTTATGTTACAAATCCTTTATCATGGATAAACATTTGATCAGCGAAACACGGTCCAGCAAGACACACCTCTAATTGGCCTTTCCAGATATCATAGCAATGACACTTCGGATTTGAACCATTGCAACTACGCTATGGGTATATAAAACTACGCTATGAGTATATAAATGATGATTTTCGCCAAGATTACAAGACAACTAAAAAATAATTGTTAAAGACCTGTCACTTGAGATTTAATAAATTGTTACAGGAAATGTTATGAAAAATAAGTCCAGTCTGTTAAAAAGAAAATCAAAGTCTTAGATAGAAAACTTGGTGCCATATTATATAAATTTTCCTCAATTATTCGATCAGGCTGTTATTTTTAATTGTTCTGAAACAGCCGGTGTTGTATTTGCAGCTGTAAAGATAGATCTAATCTCCACACATAAATCCCAGTAGCTGGCCTCTACGCGGATCTGAGTGTGTGTCGACATACTCTGGCGTCGCTCTGTAATATGACACGAATACACAGAGGTTTGTGTAGACTGACCGAGATTGTCCTTCACAGTCTATAGAGACGTCTTGGTATATTTACATAGTCAACAGGAGGAATTTCATTGATCAAACGCCTGCGTCTGCTAAGGCTGCCACTACTACTATCATTACTACTACGACGACTACTGCTACTACAGTAACTAATAATGATACTGTTACTGCTTCTACAACTGCTGCTGCTTCTATTGCCGCTGCCACTACTACTACTACTACTACTACTACCACTACTACTACTACTACTGCTGCTGCTACTACTACTGCTACTACTACTACTACTACTACTACTACTACCACTACTACTACTACTACTGCTACTGCTACTACTACTACTACTACTACTACTATTGCTACTACTACTGCTACTATTGCTACAACTACTATTGCTACTACTACTACAACCACTATTGTTACCACTACTCACCACTACTACCACCACCACTACCACCACTGCCACCACTACCACCACCTACCACCACCGCTACCATTGCTACCACTACTCATTGCCACTACCACCACCACCACCACCACCACTACCACCACCACCACCACCATTGCTTCTACCACTACCACTACCATTGCCACCGATACACCAACCTCACCATTATCACTACCACCACTGCCACCACCACCACCACCACCACCACTTCCACCTTCATTGCTTCCCTACTGCCGCCAGCTACCGCTTCTACTGCTGCTATCACTACTACTATTGCTTCTACTTCTAGTACTACTACTGCTGCTACAGCTACTGCTCCTACTGCTGCTGCTACTACTACTACTACTACTGCTGTTTCTACGACTTCTACTGCTACTACTGATGCTACCACAACTAGTTACCCGCCACTGTAACTACGACAACTAAATATGACGTTAAACCCCATTTCACCAACTCACCAACATCATGGTTTCTACTCCCATCACCACGACCTCTACTCCCACCACAACGACATCTACTCCCACCACCACCACTACTTCTACTCCCACCACGACCATCATGACTTCTACTCCCACAACCACCACCACGACCTCTACTCCCACCACCACGACCCCTACTCCCATCACCACGACCTCTACTCCCACCACCACGACCCCTACTCCCATCACCACGACCTCTACTCCCACCACCACGACCTCCACTCCCATCACCAAAACGTCTACTCCCACCACCACGACCTCTACTCCCACCACCACGACCTCCACTCCCATCACCAAAACGTCTACTCCCACCACCACGACCTCTACTCCCACCACCACGACCTCTACTCCCACCACCACGACCTCTACTCCCAATCTACTCACCACGACCCTACCCATTCTACCCCACCACCACGACCTCCTCTACTCCCCTACCAACACGTCTACCCCACCACCACGACTCCTCATGACGTCTACACCCCACCACCACCACGACTTCTACTCACCACCACCAAGACCTTTACTCCCACCACCCATGACTTCTACCCTCACCACCCGACCTCTACCACCACCACCACTACCCCACCCCACCACCACCACGACTTCTACTCCCACCACCACCACCCACGACTCCCTACTCACCACCACGACCCCTACCACACCACCAACCACCGACCTCTACTCCCACCACCACGACCCCTACTCCCACCACCACGACTTCTACTCCCACCACCCACCACGACTTCACTCCCACCACCACGACCTCTACTTCCACCACCACCACCACCACCTCTACTCCACCACCACGACCTCTACTCCCACCACCACGACTTCCTACCCCACCACCACCACGACCTCCTACTTCCACCACCACGACCTCTACTTCCCACCACCACCACCTCCTCCCACCACCACGACTTCTACTCCCCACCACCACGACCTCTACTCCCACCACCACGACCCTACTCCCACCACCACGACTTCTACTCCCACCACCACGACCTCTACTCCCACCACCACTTTCCCACCACCACCACGACCTCTACTCCCACCACCACGACCTCTACTCCACCACCCACGACTTCTACTCCCACCACCACGACCTCTACCCCCACCACCACGACCTCTACTCCCCACCACCACGACTCCTACTCCCACCACCAAGACCTCTACTCCCATCACCACGACCTCTACCCCACCACCACGACTCACCACGACCAATCTACCCCACCACCACGACTTCTTTACTCCCCACCACCACGACTCTACTCCCACCACCACGACCTCTAATCCCACCACCACCACGACCTCTACCCCACCACCACGACCCCTACTCCCATCACCACGACCTTTACTCCCACCTCACCACGACCCTTACCCCACCACCACGACTCTCCCACCACCACCACGACCTCTACTCCCACCACCACGACCCCTACTCCCACCACCACGACCTCTACTTCCACCACAACCTCGCACCCATCACCACGACTTCTACTCCAACCACCACGACCTCTACTTCCACCACCAAGACGCCTACTCCCTACCACCCACCACCACGACCTTCTACTCCCACCACCACGACTTCTACCAACCACCCGACCTCACCACCACGACCTCTACTCCCACCACCACGACCTTCTACTCCAACCACCACCACGACCTCTACTCCACCCACCACGACCTCTCCCACCACCACCACGACCTCTACTCCCACCACCACCACGACTTCTACTCCCACCACCACGACCTCTACCCCACCACCACGACCTCTATCTCCCACCACCACGACCTTCTACTCCCACCACCACCACGACTACTCCCACCACCACGACCTCTACCCCACCACCACGACCTCTACTCCCCGACCACCACGACCTTCTACTCCCACCACCACGACCCTACTCCCACCTTCACCAAAACGTGACCCCACTCCCACCACCACGACCTCTACTCCCACCACCACGACTTCTACTCCCACCACCACGACCTCTACTCCCACCACCACGACCTTCTACCCCCACCACCACGACCTCTACTCCCACCACCACCACGACCTCTACTCCACCACCACCACGACCTTTACTACCCCCACCACCACGACTTCTACCGCCCACC